AAGTAAAATGAGTCAGAAAGAGAGGGACAGTCGTAGAAGAACTGCACTTATTTGTGGAATATAAAATAACATAATATGAGACGAACAACCAATGAAAATAGACACAAGGGTCAGGAACATTGCCTCATGGTTGGAAGCCTATCTCATTAACTGGGGGGGGGGGGGGGGAGAAGGCAGCTGGAATAAAGAAGGTATCACTAAATCAATGATGGTTGGAGGAATCTTTCTGGTTGGAAAATGTGTGCTGACAATAGATAAAGGACCAAACATGAAAACCTCTCAGTATCTGTATTTCAGACCATAATGTCCAAAAGTATAGAAAGAGAGTATAGGGTAAATTGTCTGCCATGGAGGGAGAGGGAGGGTTGGAAAGAGGGGGTATGATATTGGTGTTGGAGAATGTGCACTGCTGGAGGGATGAATATTTATCATTGTATGATTGAAATTCAAACATGAAAGCTTATAACTATATCATAATGATTCATTAATATTTTTTAAAAGAGTACTTTTCCTTTTAAGATGTTATGCCTGCTTTCTAGAAAGACCCACACACTTTTTCACAACTGTTTAGCTCTATTTCTTCCCACAAATATTCATGAAAAATATTGTAAAAGCTCCCACTTCCACCCCTTCCCATGCACTTCTGCTAGATATTTCTCCCATCATCTGTCACAAAGATAGCATCTTTGCAACTTCAGCAAGGTGTCTGGCAGAGAATCTGCATTTAACACTTATTGACGGATTAAGTGGGTGGCAAGTTATATTATTAAGCCATGCATAAAAGTCTAATTCTTTTTTGTTATGTTTTTGAATCACACCCATATGTTCTCGGGGTTTACTCCTGTCTCTGTGCTCAGAGATCACTTCTCATGGCCCTCAGGAACCATTATGAGGTTTCAGGAATCAAGCTTGTGTCAGCCACATTCAAGAAAATTGCCTTACCCACTATATTATCTCTCTAAACCCTAAATATACTCTAAAAAAATTCTTCACTGAGCTCAGAAAAATACTCACAGGACCAGGAAGATTATTTAAGTGCTGGAGCACTGTGACTTTGCATGAGGCAGCCCAGGCTTGATCTCCAGCACTGCATGGTTCCAGGGCACTGGCAGGTGTCAACAAAAACAATCAACTGACTAACCAACCAACCAAACAAACAAACAAATAAACAACAGAAAGGACGAAAACATGAAACTTGTAGAACTTAATAAGTCATATTAATAGGAATGTAAAAATTCTATCAAACTCAAGTTATAGGCCTTTGGATATAACTCCGAGGCTCCTTCTTTAGCAGTAGCATATATATATTTTTTATTGATCTAATAAATGTGAGTTAATGAACATAGATGGAACAAGTTAATAATCTGAATTGCAAAATTTATGCCACATATTAGAAAAACATCCATTCTTTTTTGTTTTCATTTTACTTTCTCTTTCTTTTTACCCTAGAATAGGGAATATGAAAGTCACCTAACATGTAGGAATAAACTGAGGAAATGAAAGTCAGGACAAATGGCTTTATCTACAACCTTCCTATCAGACCTTCCTTTCAATCATGTGGTAAAAGAAATTTCTCTCTCCCAAAGGCTCTCAGCAGCCAGAGAGTGTTCCTTTTATTGTGTACTGCTTTGAAGTACCCTGAATAAAGACACCTGCATCAAACAAGACAGAAACCCACAATAAGACAGAATGTATGTAAAACTGTGGTTGCTAGAATATTTGCAGCAGCTAACAGATTAACCTGTCATACAGCAACCTGACAACACCAGGCTTAGCAGATGCAAAGATGCAAATATGCCCTAAATATATCCTCAAATTCTAAGAAAAGAACAGATTGCTTTGTGTGCATTTTATGTGAGCCAATGATAAATAAGCATTTTAAGTGGAGTATTTTTAATGGGCTAATATTACATGTCCTCATAAAGATCATAATTGAGAAAGCAAACTATATGATGACATCAAAGTTATATTTAATTGCTTCATAAATACAAGTATACTCATCTCTCACAAACTTCTATTCTGAGAACCCTAATATTAAAATTCCAGAGCCTGTTAATTCTGATTACACCCACAGAAAAATGAAATGAAAATCTTATGAATAAAGAGGAGTGAGGCAGCTAACTGAAGAAGTGAGAAATTGTTTTGCAAATAAATATTTGTCAAAAATATTTAAGATGTATTCTAAGATCTCAGACACTATGTAGTGCTATGAACTTAAGTCAAAAGTGAGTATTATGAAGTAGAATAAAATAAGTGGCATAAGGTTCGTTATTAAAGTGTAACATCATCACAACTAAAATTCTAAAGTTCTTTTCGAGGAAAGAAGAGGGAAATCTTAGAGACCTTGGGGGCTAACTACCTTATGTTTCCATTTACTGGGTTTAAATATGCACATTTCAGTGATTTAAATATGTTAAGCACCAGCAATACCCTGTCAGATAGAACAGCATGCCTCCTTCATTCCATTCTGCCCCATTTGAATGATTGTTTTACTTTGTAACTTCTCACAAATTACATAACTATTAAAATAATATGTCTAATTATATAATAAAACCTCTCAAAAGAGAATTTGCCATGATTTCAGCTGCTCAGAAATAATTGAAAAATTAATATAATTTAGTAATTGACTCTATTTGGTCTCATTTTAAAGAGACAGAGAAAGGTGTCCTCAAATAAAGAGTCACATTCCATTTTGCATTATGTATATTCTTAGATATTTCAACCCCACTGAACTGAAGGGAATGTGATTTTTCTCAAACCTTTTTTCCTTTAGAAAACAATGAACATTTAATACAAATACAATGCATTAGGCTGAATAGAGTGTGAATAAAAATTTCAAACAATAAAAATAAAAAACAATAAAAAATTTCAAACAATAAAAAATTCTTCAATATCTTGGAGGGCTGGAGCAATAGCACAGCGGTAGGGCATTTGCCTTGCACGCAGCCAACATGGCCAACCCGAGTTCGATTCCTCCATCCTTCTCGGAGAGCCCGGCAAGCTACCAAGAGTATCTCTCGCCTGCACGGCACAGCCTGGCAAGCCACCCGTGATGTATTCAATATGCCAAACACAGTAACAACAAAATCTCCAATGGAGACATTACTGGGCCCACTTGAGCAAATCAATGAACAATGGGAGGGCCTTTACCTTTACCTTTACCAATCTCTTGGAATAGATTATCTTCAAGTAGCTAGATTAGGAAGAAATTAAGATGATAAAATATCAAATTGTCTTGTCTTTGGGTAGCTAGGCAAGAAACAACTTTTTGACCTAGACAAGAATGGAACAGTTAGCATGTTCTCTTAAGGGAAAACACCACAATATTTTGCAGAATATTTTAAGTTTCAGAATATTATATTTATTTTATTTCTGCTTGACTGATTAATTGTTGAGGTACTAACAAGTTCTTCCATCCTCTATAGATCCGCATTTAGGCCACAATAAATTTTAAAGAAATTTAAAATGTTGAGGTAACAAATATTTTTTATAAAACACCATCATGCTTTTAAAGAGTTACAATAATCTTTTATTTGTTTAGGTTATACTACAAATTCACAGTCAGCAATAGCCTTTCATGTTGATACCTTCATATTTCATCAAATTTTACTTTTACATACAAGTAGTCAGTTGGACTCTGTAAGGCAGATATATAATGCTGAAATGTAAGAAATGAATGTTAGGCTGACTGTGTTCAGTATCATAAAGCAACAAGACTTAAAAGTCTGATATATAAACATATTTTTCAGTGAAGATGATTATCAAGTTTTCATTCTACAAAGACACAAATATCAACATTAAACAATGCATAACATAGCCTAATGTATAACAAAACATGGCCATTATCCTCAGAAAAAAATCCCTACCAATGTTTGCTCTTTTAACAATTTTTATTAAAAAAATTCAATTTGTTTTAGAATTTAGTCTAACATGATCATAATTTTAAGATTATTAACAGGTTGTTTTCAGATATGATATAGCAGAGATCTCTTACTGGAAAATATGCCACTATGTCTCTCAGTGACGGGGCTAGAGCGATAGCACAGCGGTAGGGCGTTTGCCTTGCATGCAGCCAACATGGCCGACCCGAGTTCGATTCCTCCGCCTCTCTCGGAGAGCCTGGCAAGCTACCGAGAGTATCTCACCCACACGGCAGAGCCTGGCAAGCCACCCGTGATGTATTCGATATACCAAACACAGTAACAACAAAATCTCCAATGGAGACGTTACTGGGCCCGCTCGAGCAAATCGATGAACAACGGGAGGGCCTCCAGCAATGATTCAGGAAGAAGTGATGGTGAAAGTTCTTTCTACTACCAAATTTCTGATTCAATAAATACTGAACCTCTTAATAAAAATAAACAGAAACATGATACTGTAAATCTTTATGAAGTTGTACAAAGATATACAATTTTTAAGATAAAGGGCAAGACTAGTACTTGTTTGGTATCTGACATATTTATGAATATTATTGCTTTTAACTTCATTTTGTGAAAATACCTTTCACAATAAGTGAATTTAAAACACCTTGAGTGTCTTCAGTGCTACAAATCTAATAGTACAACACTGAATAAATCACCTGTTGTTCAAACTGTCTCTGCCAATTCTCAAACTGGCACCTATACAAAAATAAATAAATAAATAAATATCTACACTCTATGAAAGATACATCTCAGTTCTGAAAGTAAAATAATTTCATTTAAAATATGTTTTTATATAATGTTATCAGACTTATTGATACTAGAGTAAATATCTCTCAATTTAAGTAGTGTGCTAGAGCAATAGCATCTTGCTAACATACATGAAGATTTGGAAGCAATAAAAGAAAACCTTAAATATAATTAGTATTTTCTAATACTCTACCATAACATTTCTTTAACATGTAAAGTACCTGAATTAATACCACAAGGTATAGTCTGTAAACAACTTTGCAATAGTAATCATATATTCTCAAATGCAAAGGCATCTGCTCCAGAAATTATTCTCAAAGGAACCAATACCTTTGGTAGCCCTGTTGTTCCAGATGTGTAAAGTATATACAGTGGATGCTCTGAAAGAACAGGAACACAATCATGAGACTGTGCTTTTGCCATCTCCTCATCCCAGTCAAGGTCCCGACCTGGCGCCAGAGAAACAGTTTCCTACAGGAAAAACATAGAAAGGTGCAAAAAAATCAGAGAATAACAGAGAAATGATGGAACATAGTTAAATCTGCAAAAATATGAGCATTGGATTATAATCTAGGCCTAATGGCATTAAATACAAAATAAATTTAATGAAACATGCATTTAAAAAGACCCAATAATTGAAAATGAACTGATAATGGAGGATGTTTTATTAAAGTCTACGCAAATTCTTCCATGTGCTCTAACTATATGGTCATCAACAGGCATAGCTTAACTAATAGAGGCTTGAATTTCTATTAATTTATGTGCCCTATTAACTTCACATATTTATATTTTTCATAATCTGTTTGTTTCACTTGGTGCTATTGCATTCACCAAAAAAAAGGATATATAGTAGAGAAATTTACAAAATTTCTCTTAATAGAGTGAAACGTCTTTTAAATAAAAGAATTTTAAATCATCTTTAGGAATAAATAAAAAATCTACTTTTCATTGTTCAAAAACCAGTTTTGAAAATAAAGGGGCATACGTGACATTATACAAAATGCTATCCATGGTTTCCTACATATACATCAGTAATTAATATGGAAACAATGTTTGCTTCGTTTTTAATTTCTAGAGCCAAGATCTGTGTTATAAACATTGTAATAGTTTTGCGGGAGACCCGCATTAAAGAAATTAGTGCATTTCAAGCAGCTGGTCTGGGTTCAATCCTCATTACCCCAGATAGTCCCCATAGCCAGCCAGGAGTGATCCCTAAAAGCAGTCATGAATAAATCCTGAACACAGTTGAGTATGGTCAGAACAAAACCAAACAAAAAATTAACCATCTTTAATAATAGTGTCAATAACAAGCTTGAATGGTGAGAAATAAATGTCTTATATAAAATAACTACTCTAAATATCTAGAATATTATCAATATTTAAGTAGACTTAAGATTCAGGGAGCAACAGGTGCTGGCGCGGAATAAGTTCAAGATCACACATCATAAAGTTTAAACTGGTAAATGTGTGAGTATAGGCTAGAGACAAAGTTACATATTCTTCAGAGAAATTTGGAAACATCTAACATACATAGTGTTTATCATAACCATTTATTTCATTAAGATGACCTTGAGTTGAGACCCAAATGGTAAGATGTTTAGAAAAGCAGGGCAATTCCCATTTTTCAAGCTCTTTAAGGTATTAATCAGTGTTTTAAGAAATACTCATATATTTACAGGCATACATATACAAACGACCATTTCAACATTTCAAAGTTATTAAGACTATGATATGAATAAAAATAATGGCAGATAACAATTTAAATTGAATTTCATAAAAATGAATTTTAGACCCAATTGTTCTTCCCCACCAGGACCACATTGCACTATTCAAAATAAGTATAATCACATTACACATTTTCATCTTTTTCACATATTATAAAAATACAACTATTTTTAAATAATTAAATATTTAATATGATAATCACAGACCTGTGAGGAAAGTCACTGCATATTAAAAAAAATCAATTGCATAATCACTAAAATAAATACATATTGAATGAAATAATGAATGAATGAGTATTCTCCAAGCCAAGAAATACAGGCATGTGTAAAGTATAGTTGATAAAATAAAAGAAAAAAATATCAACACAAGATGTATGTTCGCACATTTATCTGTACAGAGATTAAGCTCCTAGATGTGAGTATCCTAGAAAGGCAATATTGGAACAGTGACATTTATTTGATTCTGACATTGTTTTCATTAGGTTTACAATTGGCAGTCAGGTCTTTACCTCCTCTGGCAAAAATCACAGTCCTGGTTAATACAGTCCTAGTTAATACAATCCTGTTAATGAGCTGTGCCAGGGAGCTGCAGAGACCATATTTCTCTAAACTTAAAGCAAAGTCATTTACTAGGCCTAATTACTCTCTGAACAACAGGTCAAATCAGAAGAACAAGAGACATTCAAAGTTCTCATTTTATATAAAGACAAATTCAGATGACAAGAGAGTCTGAAGACACAGAAAAAGGGAAAGAAGTGAGTTTGTTATGGGAAAATAGATAGCAGAAGAATGTATGTCTGCTGAATAAGAAGAAGGAGATTTGCATTCAAAACATCTGAATAGAACACTTTAGTATTCATATCCTGTGTATTTATAAAGTAAAATAAAAAGCAATTATTGTGTCAGTAAGAGATCATTTAAATTGAAATTCAAACTCGTTCTACCACTTATTAGCTGGGTCTTGAGGCTCTGACCTCTCCATTAATCCATTTCTTCTATAAAATGAGGATAGAATAGCATTTACTTCAATGGTCTGTGATAATTAAATAAGAAAAATCATTTGAAAATCACTTAGCATTGGGCCTAACATAAATTCCTTATAAATTCTACATGCATTCATATATGCGTGGTTAGCAGAGACATACACACATGAACACCCATGTCTGTGTTTGGTTGCATGTGTATTACCACGCCTTCCTTATCCAATGTCTTATTTACAGCTGACTTTGCATTTCCTGATTTAAGAGCAAATAAGATTTGTAAAAAGAAAAGCTTGAGCTCATTGGGTAGAAAGTTCAAATTCCTCTTTGAGACAGTAAGAATATTAAAATCATTGACTGCAGCTATTCATGAACCACAGACTACTAAAATTTTTACACAGGAATTTAATGTGGTAATGGGAATTGCTAGGTGGTAATCAAAATGATATAGTTTTAATACCCTCTGTTCTTAGATTTTGTCTGTCAAGTATTTTCTGCAGATAACCTCTCAAGAGTTCCACAAAAATATAATGGTTCCTCATGTTCTTAGTGTATTTCTTTCTCAAACTAATTGCAATTTGCTGCAAATTTATAGGAAAAAAGAAACAAATTGTAAGATATATTCTCTAATGTTGCATACTGCTTTTTATTCCTTCAAGTATTATAGAATAATTTATCAATTTTGGATGCTCTTGTTTTGTTTTCTTGAACACAGTTTTAATTTCTATGCCAAATACATTTTCTAAAATGTTTAAAGGCCACTTTACATACAATTGAATCATATCTCTCCAGAGAACAGAGGGCTGACAGACAGAACACACTTCAAGAGTGCAAGTGTTCAAATCATAAGTTGAGCACTTAGCCAGACAGACAATTTAATTTTATCTTATTTTTCATTGCATTCTTCCAGGGAGTAATGCTGTCCCTTAGCTCTAAGAACTATCAGTGAGACTTTAAGAATTATCAACTATTTGGGCTGGAGAAATAGTGTACTCACCTACTCATTAGTAAGGTGCTTGTATTTCATACAGCTGCCACCCTAACATGGTACCTCAAGCCCCAGGAGTGATCCCCCAAGAGCAGAGACAGGAGAAAGATCTAATAATTCCTCGATTTGGCTTAAAAGGCTATTTTTTTTTCATTTAAGAAAATTATCCACTAGCAAACACTCAAGTATCGTAGTCAGTTTTTATTAGTATAGAAATTACCATTAAATATTATAGTAATAAATGTCATCATAATAAGCTACACAGAATACAATTTACTAATATTAAGGGCACATCTGTTTCAACTTTTCTTTTAAGTTACTCTTTTTATTTAAGAAAACCGAAATTATTCCTCTTTTTGCTAAAAATAACAATGACATTCAAGAAGTACACTTAGTGGTTTATACATCAATAGATTCTTTCAAATGACCAAAACTAGAATCATTCTTCACACATCATCATAATCAAGAACCAAATTCAGTAATGAGATTACCATATTTGGTCGATTATAAATAAGAACTTTGTCAGGTTGATGTTGTCCAATTCGCAGCGCTTCTTCTAGAAGGGGCATGTATTCTACCTTCCTTCCAGGTTCAATGCCAAATGACGCTGTAACAACCACCTTGGGCTACAATGAAATTTAAAAAAAAAGAAGAATTGGAAAAGTGTGACAATCCTAATTAAGGTAATGATGATGTTTTACATGCCAACTTGCAATTCTATTGTTCTCTTCTCTATCAAATAAATGGCTTGAAAACCAATAAACCCTTTAAAAATGTTATAGACCAAATCACTCCATACAAATCTCATTTACTGGTTCAAAATTACATGGTCAATGAACCTTTTAGCTAAAAATCATGAGATGTTAGAAAATACCCTCCTAAGATGAACCAAACAAATCTGCCACACACCAGTGAATTGCAGAGATTCTGTGACGGACTATTGCTGCTGACAAAGCAGCGTTTCTTGGATAGTAAGAAGCAGCCTGGATGATATCAGGAATCATGTGTAATTTTTTTAAATTTTAAGATCTCTGCTAAAGGTCTAAAGTCACTGCAGAAGATGTGAACTTCTCATAAATCCTTCATTTTTTTGCTCATTTTAATAATATACTAGCATTTGCACCAAATATTATGTCTGCAAGCTGTATCTTATTTTTCTGAGAAGGACCCACCAAATGACTTAGGTTTAAAGTTCTGCAAAGTTTGGGCCTGCTTCTCTGCCTGGCACTAGCACCTATTTGCACTCTTCTTAGAACAAATAGCTTGCTAGTTATTCTTCACAATAAAATGAAACCAGAGGATCGCTGGGGCGGGCAGGCTTTGGATCACTTTCCTTTCTCGGTCCATTTCGGGCATGCCAGGTGGAATCATTAACCTTCCTGCCCACCAAGCACAACTAGGCCTGGATTACATTCACTTCAGTCCCTAGGCCTGCTCCAGGGCTGGCCATTCAATGTACTGTCAATGAATACTTCAGGAGTTGACCAAATTTCTCATTCATTTGCCACAGTGTTCATGTCTTTATTCTTTTAACACTGTTTTCTTCACCAAGAAATCCAAAGCAAGGCGAGAGATAATGAATTATTCAGGAGACAGATCATCAATCCAAGATAGTGCATCTATTTCTAAATTCCAATTTCTGGTTACCATTCATTTTAAGGTTTATATTATACCAAATGTATGCATATATAGCCCATTCTGACTTCTGAGCATCATTTAATATTCATGAAGCTGAGATTCAGTGCAGTTATCTAGTTTGCCCTCAGTTATCTTTGGTGGAATCAGAAAGAGGCCAGTTCTGGCTGATTATGAACCTTTCTCTCACCATTATATTGAGGTGCCATTTAAAAGAAAGAAAAAAGAAGTTTTATTATCTCTTATTACATTTTAAAGGTCAGGCATTTGAATATACTTCACATTTTAATATCTGTAATACTTATAAAAATAACTCCGCATAATATATCTTAAGATTATAATTCTGAAATATGAAAATAAGTTGCAGATCAAATTAAGTTGAACAATTTTACAAAGTTAAAATTAAACTCTTGCTTAAACTACAACTTTCACCTGCATAAACATGTACACTGGCTAGGGTCTCAGGAACCAGTCAGACAAACGCCACCTTTGCAAACTTTCCTTTTCTCCCTCTTCAAGCATGTAAATTTATTTAATGCCCTTCCAAATAAATTTGACCCTTTTTGATAATGCTAGATTAATGTTTTTCCTTTTGGAGTTATAGGTCATTATCCCTTTCAGTAAGTTAAATATTTGCCAAGATCTAACTCCTCTTTTTTTTTCGAAGAAACTATTCCTTTCTTTTAACTTAGGAAATATCCTTTCTTTTAACTAAGGAAATAACTAAGAAATTATGAAGAGAGCTAATGGAACCATGACATGTTTCTTTAAGGTATGATTGGGACCTGAGCTGGCCCAGCGCTTATATAGTGGCTATGCTGCTTTCATGCTCTCACAGAACAGCTGAATAGTTGCAACAGAACCGACTTGACCTGCAATTTCTTAAATATTTTCCACCTGGAAATGTACAAAGTTTTGCTGACCCTCTGCTCTTTAATTATAAACATTACGTGCATGGCATTAGATAGGGGGTCTAAGTTCGTTTTTTTTTTCTTTTATATGCAGCTGTCCATTTTTCCCAGCACAGCTTGTTAAAGAGGTTTTCTTTGCTCCACTTCATATTTCTTGTTCCCTTATCAAAGATTAAGTGATCATATATTTGAAGGTGTGTGTCAGGATATTCAACTCTATTCCATTGATCTGTGGGTCTCTCTTTATTCCACTATCATGTTGTTTTAATTACTACCTACTTTGTAGTACAGTTTGAAGTTGGGGAAGTTGATGCCTCCCATCTTCTTTTTTCCCAAGGATTGCTTTAGCTATTCATGGGGTTCTATTGTTCCATATGAATTTCAGGAATATCTGATCAATTTCTTTGGAAAATGTCATGTTTATCCTTATAGGGACTGATTGAACCTATATAATGCTTTGGGGGGTTTTTGACAATGCGAATTCTTCCAATCCATGAGCAGGGGATGCATCTCCATTTACTTATGTCCTCTTTTATTTCTTGAATCAGTGTTTTTGCAATTTTCTTTGTACAGGTCCTTTACTTCCTTAATTAAGTTGATTCCAAACAACTTGATTTTTTGAAGCACAACTGTGAATAGGATTTTTTTAATATCAATTTTTTCTTCCATTATTTGTATATAGGAAAACCATGGACTTTTGGTTATTGATTTTGTAACCCTCAACTCCACTATTCAAATCTATTGTTTCTGGGAGTTTTTTGGTAGAGACTTTTGGGTTCTTTAAATATAGTATCAAGTCATATGCAAATAGTGAAAGATTGACTGCTTCCTTTCCTATCTGGTTACCTTCAATATCTTCTTCTTCCCTAACTGCTATGGCAAGTAATTCCAGCATTATATTGAATAGAAGTGGTGAAAGTGGGCAACCTTTTCTTCTCCCTGATCTTAGAAGGAAGGCTTTTAATTATTCCGCATTGAGAATAAGTATTGCCATAGGCTTGTGGTGTATGGCTTTGACTATACTGATGAAAGTTAACCTTTGACTCCCGTTTTGTTGAGTTTTCATCTTGAACAGGTGCTAAATCTTATAAAATGTTTTCTCTGTATCTATTAATATAATCAGATGATTTCTTTTTATTTTATTGATATTATGAATCATGTTAATTGACATGCAAATGTTAACCATCCTTGCATCCCCGGGTTGAATGCCACTTGGTCATGGTGTATGATCAATTTTATGATTGATAGTGCCTCTCAAATACTGTGATACACCATCATTCCTGGATGATATTATATTATGTATAGTACAAAATTATATTATATTATATATAATATAATATATATTATATTATGTATAGTACAAAATTAGTATGTGTTTTATCTATTTGATAATTATCCTCCATCATTCACTTCCAACAAGAGCATCAGGCACATAAATGGATGCTAAGTCAACATATTATTTATTAGCTACTTTTCATATATATGTCTTTTGTGCCCAAATATATTGCAAACTAACTTGAAAGGCAAACCAGTTATGTTACATTCCTCAAAGCACCCAGAACATGCCTTTCACATAAAATTGACTCAAAATTCATTATTTTATTAACAAATATGTCAAAGAAAAGTAAAACCTAAAAAATTCCATTTGAAAGCAGGATGCAATGAGCACCAATTTCTTCTTAAAAAGAGTCTTCTAAAAAAGAGTCATTTATAGTACAGTACAGCTGTTCTTTGTACAATTATATGTAATTGTAAGCAAAAGTTGACACCCCCCCAATCCTAACCACAGAAATAAAGCATTACCTTTGCATGGTCAATGCGAGTACTTAGTTCTTTAGATGCAAATCCCCCAAATATGAGACTGTGGATAGCTCCTATCCTTGCACATGCCAGCATGGTGTACATTGCCTGTGGGATCATGGGCATGTATATAACCACAGTGTCGCCTTTCTTGACGCCATGCTTGACCAAAACACCAGCAAGTTTAGACACCTGAAACAAAAATCATTAAATCAGTGAGCTGTATTCTGAGAGTTATTTCTTCAAACTTCTTAAGACATTGACACAAGAATGCCAAAGATCATTCTCTTGGTATTGGATTTAATAAGAATTAATGGAGTCAAAGAGTCAGTACAGTATGTACAGCTCTTGCCTTGCATGTAGGAGACCTGGATTCTATCCCTGTTACCCCAAATGGTTCCTTGACCCAGCCAGGAGTGATTTCTAACCACACATTCAGAAGTAATTCCCAAGTAGTGCTAGGTATGGTGAGAAAACAAAAAGAAAAAATAAAGAATTAGTAATACATATACAACAATAAGACAATAATAAGAGTATTAATGTAGTTATGTATTATGACCTTTGACTACAGACCAACTTACTGTCATTAATGCCCTATGGACTACATGGCTTATATTTGCTTATTCATTCAAAAATGGATTTTCTGAACAACTATTATGTGCTGAGTGTATTCAATGTTGGAATGTATAATTTTTGTAATATATCCTTCTAGAAGCTTTTATTCTAAAAATAAATCTATTAAGTGAACAAGAAAACAATTAAAACTTTGTGTTGGGATAACTACTAAGGAACTATGTGCTAAGAAAGGAACATAAGTATATATGCAAATATATATTTTTATATTTTTAATATATTGTAACTATTTTAAATATATATGATAAATATGCATATTTAATATTAGTATTATTTTTAATTTTCTTAAAGCAAGATAAATAAGACTCAGAGATAACAAATAGCTCACCAGAAGTCAGGAATTAGTCTATCTACAGGCATGATACCATCAAAAGTCTTTTGTTCTTGAATATATTTCCTTCTCTTTCTTCTGCCTGAAGCCAATAATTTTTCCTTTATAGATTTCTATACTATCTATAGACAATATATATAGGTCCCATCCATATTAGCACCAAAGACACTAATTTTTTGGTTTACTTTAAATCTGTATTTTGCGCCCTCTCTTCTCTGGAAAGAAGGATGGCGGCCGCATGGAAGCCTTGTGGACAGCAGGTATGAGCCGGGGGTGTGGGGGCGACTAAAACCTCATGGGAAGGGGGGCGTTCCGGTCCGTCCTTCACGCCCTACCGAGGTCACCAGTTGCCCCCCACAAGCGGCTCTCCAGCACGGCCACAGCCCCAGAAGCACAAGGACTTAATGCAGAAACCAGCAGCTTGGAGCAGAAAAGTGAACGGACTATGTGTTAATCCAGGCCATCATGTCTGTCCGGAGGGGAAAGGGTGTTGCCCCATTCGCCCTCTCCTCTTTGGAAAGAAAGATGGCGGCCGCATGGGAGCCTTGTGGACAACAAGTATGAGCCGGGGGTGTGGGGGCGACTAAAACCTCATGGGAAGGGGGGCGTTCCGGTCCATCCTTCACGCCCTACCGAGGTCACCAGTTGCCCCCCACGAGCGGCTCTCCAGCACAGCCACAGCCCCAGAAGCACAAGGACTTAATGCAGAACCCAGCAGCTTGGAGCAGAAAAGTGAAAGGACTATGCTTTAATCCAGGCCATCATGTCTGCCCGGAGGGGAAAGGGTGTTGCTCCCTTCTGCCCTCCTCCCTCTGGAAAGAAAGATGGCGGCCACATGGGAGCCTTGTGGACAGCAGGTATGAGCCGGGGGTGTGGGGGCGACTAAAACCTCATAGGCGGGGGGGCGTTCCGGTCCGTCCTTCACGCCCTACCGAGGCCACCAGTTGCCCCCCATGAACGGCTCTCCAGCACAGCCACGGCCCCAGAAGCACAAGGACTTAATGCAGAACCCGGCAGCTTGGAGCAGAAAAGTGAAAGGACTATGCGTTAATCCAGGCCATCAAGTCTGCCGGAGGGGAAAGGGTGTTGCCCCATTCGCCCTCTCCTCTCTGGAAAGAAAGATGGCGGCCGCATGGGAGCCTTGTGGACAGCAGGTATGAGCCGGGGGTGTGGGGGCGACTAAAACCTCATGGGAAGGGGGGGCGTTTCGGTCCGCCCTTCACGCCCTACCAAGGCCACCACTTGCCCCCCACGAGCGGCTCTCCAGCACGGCCACGACTCCAGAACACAGAAACCAATTTCTTAACTATCTGACTTTCAGTAGAAATACTTCCAGGGTCAATAGGTAAAATAGCAGAAATCCAAAACCAACATTTAATTCTTGAACCCAGCTGTAGAAAGCAAATCACTTCACAATGCTTTTTCAGCATGTCTGATTTGGGGGGGGGGTAAACTCTAAATAATAGTGGTGAATCTTTTATTGAAACAATGAATCTAATCAAAGCAGATAGAGTGTTAACTAGAATTCATCTGCCTCACAGGGACTGGGAGGGGTGGGGGTGGGGTTTTATTGGGGTTCTTCATGGTAAAAAATAAGTATTGGTAAAGGGAAATGTGTTTGATATTTGCATGACTGAGACCTAAACCTGAAAGCTTTGTAACCTTTCCCACAGTGATTCAATAAATAAATAAATAAATAAATAAATCTGTATTTTGGTGACCAAATATAAAAACTATCTCTTTCCTCTTAATATGTATTTCTTCAAATTTCTTCAATTTTTTAGTGATAAACATAAAATAGTTCATTAGCTCACACATACAAGAAACCTTCCCAGGGTCAAATATCTCACTCTGAAGGTAGTATATCCACACAGTGAATAAGTTCATGTCATCACCAAAAATTTGCACAAAGGAGTATCAATATAAGCCAGACCGTGTTTTCTGGTATATCAGTAAAAATAGCACTGTAGCATTGTCCTCCCGTTGTTCAACAATTTGCTTGAGTGGGCACCAGTAACATCTCCATTGTGAGACTTGTTGTTACTGTGTTTGGCATATCAAATACGTCACGGGTAGCTTGCCAGGCTTTGCCATGCCAGCGAGATACTCTCAGTAGCTTGCCGGGCTCTCCGAGAGGGGCTGAGGAATTGAACGTGGGCCAGTCACATGCAAGGCAAACACCCTATCCACTATGCTATGGCTCTGGCCCACGTCAGTAAAGCTAAGCAAACAAAAATCTATAGTCTCAGAGAACCTTTTGTACTGTAAGTACTGAAACACAATAAGCCTAAATAAAGCATATAGGGTGTCAAATGGTAACTGGTGCCATGAAAGTGAGGGAAGGGAAGAGACTCAGGGCAGAAAAGAAAAAAAAAGGAGAAGGAAGATATAGTAAAGGTAAAGGTAAATCGACGTCGATCGTCGATTTGCTCGAGCGGGCCCAGTAACGTCTCCATTGGAGACTTTGTTGTTACTGTGTTTGGCATATCCAATATGTCATGGGGAGCTTGCCAGGCTCTGCCGTGCGGGCGAGATACTCTCGGTAGCTTGCCGGGCTCTCCGAGAGGGGCGGAGGAATCGAACTCGGGTCAGCCATGTTGGCCGCTTGTAAGGCGAACGCCCTACCGCTGTGCTATCACTCTAGTCCAAGGAAGATGTAATTCCCAGGAAAACAATCAGAGTCCACAGCACTAAAGAAAGCGCTGTTTCAGCAATAAAGGGTTGAGAACAAGTGGCTACCTGAGCATACTATTTCAGGCAGCGAAAGCAGCACACGGTGGTGTTAGGGAGAGCCACACGGGATGGTACTGAGGACCAACAAGAAGAAAATGGGAACTGAAACAAAACCAAGATCATCAAGAGTGGTGGCCTTGCAAAAAGGAATTAGGCCACATGGCTATTTGTGGTTCTTTTCATTTCATGCAGCCTCTCCTACTTTTTGATCAAATTTAAAAGACTCTAAACCCTGACTATTCTTCCTTTTCCTCTTTATTCACTGGCTCTGGGTAAATTGGGGAAGAGGTAAAAAGGGTCAGAATAAAAAGCAACAACCGACCCTCTTAGTGTTTTATTCTTCCCTACATCATGAACCATAATTTACTGCATCTTGTTTTTGGTTTAGTTTTAGTTTTTAAGAACCCAAAGCTCAAGAAACATCCACCCAAGTAGTATAAATCAAATTATGTGCCACTCAGAAACCAAGAGCAACATGTAAAGTTAGATCCACATATCCCAGAATGTAGTCCCTGCAGAAAGTGGCCTGGAGCTGTGAGATTTTACTGGGTTTCCCACGGAAGAGATAGCACACTTGGGAGAGACCATCAAGCACTGGTTTACTTACAGCTACAAGAGTGGCATGTTAATAATGTCTGTTGTTGCATTAAAATACCTTTAACCAAGACCCAACCCAGCAACAATTCAGCAGCTTTATATTCCAGTCTCATTCCACAATGTTGCTGGAATATATCCAAAATCATTCTGCCCTCTGAAAAATACTGAAGTCATTCAAGATTTAATCAAGAAGTGTGTGTGGTGGGGGGCAAGAGGAGGGGTTATGTCACATCTTAAAACACAAACCGATGTAATAAAATAAGACATATACCCATGCTGATTTCTGAATTCTCAAGGAAAACTGAAAGGTCTCTAAAAGGTCTAAAAAGGCCTGCATTCTCGAATGATAACTATCCAGTGAAGCTAATGGTCAGCTGCTAGGTTTATCAAAACTCACCATTCCACTTGAAACATGACTCGAATTTATTTCACCAAATTTAAAATAATTGACATTTTCCTTCCCCACTTCTTTCATTCATTTTATTTGCATGGCTGTTGAAAGCTTTTTCATTGTTAACCATGACCCCAAGGCAACCCTCAGTCTGCACTGGGTCTGTTTAACCACTAGATGGCGGTGATTTAGTCTTATTAACCTTGCTTCTTGCAGCCCCGGTTTAGTATTTTGATGCCATTCTAACATCAGAGCTCTAAAAGCAAGTCCCACAAGATCAATAGAGAATATTTCCTTTTCATTAATTCCCAGGAATAAATATAACACCATTAAAATGTCCAGTGTACCTTATAAACTAAGGCTATTTAAGTAGATAAGTAATTTAGTTTCTGGTGAGACTTCTAATAAAAAGTCTATGAGAAATAAAGTATTAGCTCAGATCAAAAAACAGGACCTTGATTCATATGTAATGTGACGACGTTTTATTTATAAATATTACTATTAATT